AAACGCTTGATTGTTGGATGATCACGCTTCAGAAGCTTTGCAATTTTAAGAGTGCTGCATCCCTCTGCAAGATATCTCACTATTTTTGACTTTTCTGAGCCTGTCAAGTCCTTCTTTTGACCCATTTTGCCAAAGGAAAGGAAGTTGCCTAATAATTATGCACACCTGATATAGGGTGTTGATGTCATTAGACCACACCCCTTCTCATTACAGAGATGCACATCACCTAATATGCTTAATTGGTAGTAGGCTTTTGAGCCTATACAGCTTGGAGTAAGACAACATGCATAAAGAGGATGATGTGGTCAAAATACTCATTTGCCTAATAATTCTGCACTCCCTGTAAGAGGGAGCAGGGTGCAAATGTTTCTTTTTGTATATGTCCCAATAGTTTGGGGGGTACCCCAATTAAAATAAAATATATATATATATAAAAAATAGTGTTGGCTACCTCCTCCTCCTCCACCGCCGCCGCTTCCACCTACACCGCCTCCTCAACCAATGGGTCACTTAGTATAAACTATGTACACAATAGCAGAGACTTGTGAAGGCCTTTTCTCCATGCATCAGGAGTTGAGCATTTATCCATGCATCAGCACTGCAAGAAATGCACCGCAGGCTGCAAATGTTTCTTTTTTTATATGTTCCAATATTTGAGGGGATACCCCAATTATATATAGATAGTGTTAAACTCTATCTATTGATAAGTATTGCCTCAGAACTGAAGAAAAGAGGAAAACTCTTGAAAACTTGTCTTTGAAATATTATGTTAGTCCAATAAAAAAGGTATCATTGCATACTCCAATACTCTGGTATTTTGGCAATATATACACTGCTCAAAAAAATAAAGGAAACACAAAAAGAACACATCCTAGATCTGAATGAATTAAATATTCTTCTGAAATAATTTGTTCTTTACTGTGCTGACAACAAAATCACACAAAAATAAAAAATGGAAATCAGATTTTTCAACCCATGGAGGTCTGGATTTGGAATCACACTACAGGCTGATCCATCTTTGATGTAATGTCATTAAAACAAGTAAAAATGAGGCTCAGTAGTGTGTGTCGCCTCCACGTGCCTGTATGACCTTCCTACAACGCCTGTGCATGCTCCTGATGAGGTGGCGGATGGTCTCCTGAGGGATCTCCTCCCAGACCTGGACTAAAGCATCTGCCAACTCCTGGACAGTCTGTGGTGCAATGTGACGTTGGTGGATGGAGCAAGACATGATGTCCCAGATGTGCTCAATTAGATTCAGGTCTGTGGAACAGACGGACCAGTCCATAGCATCAATGCCTTTGTCTTGCAGGAACTGCTGACACACTCCAGCCACATGAGGTCTAGCATTGTCTTGCATTAGGAGGAACCCATGGCCAACCACACCAGCATATGGTCTCACAAGGGGTCTGAGGATCTCATCTTGGTACCTAATGGCAGTCAGGCTACCTCTGGCAAGTACATGAAGGGCTGTGCAGCCCCCTCAAAGAAATGCCACCCCACACCATTACTGACCCACTGCCAAACCGGTCATGCTGGAGGATGTTGCAGGCAGCAGAACATTCTCCATGGCGTCTCCAGACTCTGTCACGTCTGTCACATGTGCTCAGTGTGAACCTGTTTTCATCTGTGAAAAGCACAGGGCGCCAGTGGCGAATTTGCCAATCTTGGTGTTCTCTGGCAAATGCCAAACGTCCTGCACGGTGTTGGGCCCTCATACCACCCTCATGGAGTCTGTTTCTGACCGTTTTGAGCAGACACCTGCACATTTGTTGCCTGCTGCAGGTAATTTTGCAGGGCTCTGGAAGTACTGCTCTTGTTCCTCTTTGCACAAAGGTGGAGGTAGCGGTCCTGCTGCTGGGTTGTTGCCCTCCTACGGCCTCCTCCACGTCTCCTGATGTACTGGCCTGTCTCCTGGTAGCGCCTCCATGTTCTGGACACTACGCTGACAGACACAGCAAACCTTCTTGCCACAGCTCGCATTAATGTGCCATCCTAGATGAGCTGCACTACCTGAGCCACTTGTGTGGGTTGTAGACTCCATCTCATTCTACCACTAGAGTGAAAGCACCACCAGCATTTAAAAGTGACCAAAACATCAGCCAGGAAGCATAGGAACTGAGAAGTGGTCTGTGGTCACCACCTGCAGAACCACTCCTTTATTGGGGGGTGTCTTGCTAATTGCCTATAATTTCTACCTGTTGTCTATCCCATTTGCACAACAGCATGTGAAATTGATTGTCACTCAGTGTTGCTTCCTAAGTGGACAGTTTGATTTCACAGAAGTGTGATTGACTTGGAGTTACATTGTATTGTTTAAGTGTTCCCTTTATTTTTTTGAGCAGTATATATATATATATATATATATACACACAAACATTTTTTTTAACTATACCAATCAGTTGCTGATTTTTCAAATAATAAGGCCAGCATACCATTCAAAAAGATCAGATACTGTACCATCAACATTTTAATGTGAAAATATTTTATGACTTGCCCCATGGATTTGTGATGTTGCTAATGTTATCTAGTTTTATTTCTTCTTTTGCAGATTAACTTCTAAATATGTATCTGTACTTGCCTCTAGCCAGCCATTTCTGTGCATTGATGATTTGGGATTTACACAAACGAGTTAATGGACCCATTAACTAGCCTTACTATTACAAGTACCTTATCTGATTTTCTTACCTTTTGACATATAAGCCAAATATTATGGTCTGTTAGTTTGCTTTTTTTCCCATTATGATTACAATATCAGTATCTACAGTATACACTTATAATAACACAAGTGTAGATTGCATAATTAAGTGTTCTTGCATAGCAAGACCACTTAATGTTATCTCACATATATATTATTAAGTGTTCTTGCATAGCAAGACCACTTATTGTTATCTCACATATATATTATTAAGTATTCTTGCAAGAACACTTGTTATCTCACATATATATTCTTATTCTTATTAAGTGTTCTTGCATAGCAAGACCACTTAATGTTATCTCACATATATATTATTATTATTATTATAGCAAAATTTGCCACCCAACTCCTCCCACAGTTTTTACACTACATAGACAAAAAGTTCCCAAAACGTGCAGATTGTTCCCAATCGGATTGCTATTACTTTGTGGAACGTTTCGCCGAATGGTTCACGGAATATCGTCGTTCTTGTGACGAAATTTGTCCCATAGGAATGAATGGCAAAGCTAGAGTGGGAGCTGGCAAAAGTTGAAAAATCAGGACATGATTTCTAAACTGCCACCACTCCCTTATTTTCAGGCCCACCTACACAAATCTTATATCAAAACGTTCAGCTATGCCTGCTGCCACTAAACATGTCAACGGCTAAGCCATAGTCCTGATAGTTTTCACAATATAATCATTTGTTTGCAACTAACTTCACTCTTCAAAGCTCAAATTTGAAGGGCAATTTCTAAACTGCGACTGTGCCTTCATTCTTAATACTTCAGAGATATACTATGCATCAAAATGTAGGTCTGTGTCTTGTGATTCTCACAATATAAAGCTCTTCACTGTAGGATTGATAGCAGCAGCAAGTGATGTCATAGACAGGGCCTTTTGAACACCTGCTAATGTTTTTATAAATGTATGGGTTAATGTAACTGTGCAACAACGTTGCAATTAAATGTGCTATATAAATGATAACAGTTACTCCGCCCACTCCAGTTGTAGACTACTGGTGGAGGCAAGAACACTTCACACAATTTCCCCAGAAATTTTAGCTTTTCTAGTGTTTAATATAATGCTATATGTCTATGTTAAAATTCTTCAATATAAGAAAAAGTTTATATAAATAGAAACCCAAAACTTTGTTTCACTGTATAAAGATGAAAAACATCAAAGAGATTTGGAAATGCAGCTGTAAGTATTGGATCATGTCACAATCAATTTACCCTGCCAGCGATGACAAAAGACTGATGTATGCAGGACATATTTCAAACATGCTGCATGTTTGCATTCAGAATATCCTTACACTGAATTAACAGGACATAATATAGAGTTAAACAAAATTACTTTATGGGTATTGTGATTTAAAGCTACTATAACATTTAGCAAAATGCTCACTTAAATTTTTAGTTTAGACAAACATAGTCAAAGCATAAGGACAGAAAGAAAAAAAAAAAAAGATAAAGGATAATCATGGAAAATAAAATATTATTCTTTATTTTCTAGGGTAGTTATAAGAAAGACCTCCAGCTGACAAGAGTTTAAAAGAGCATTATGAGAGTTGAAAATATAAGAAAAGGACTAAGAAATGAAATATGCAAACTGAGCATGTGAAATAATGATATTAAAAAAATCTCCCTTTTTACTTTAAAACTTAAAGTTAACTCAAAGTAGAGAACTTTGTTTCAATAGAAAGCCATTTATTTTATATGAAATTCACACTGGTGTCTTACGCAATCAAATTGAATATTCTTTCTCATCATATCCTATATCAGCACATATATTCAGCAACTGCTTGATCTTCTACAGTGCAAGTTTTGCCGTCAAAGTTTTGAGTGAAGTCTTGCTATCTTTAAATAATTTAATGTCGTATGTATGCACACACATATATATGATACATATTTATTTATTTATTTTCTGGCTAATCATGGCAGCATATACACATGGGTTAGCTCCTCCCCTTACAGACAATAGGACAGGAAAAACACCAAGGTTTTAAAAGGAGGCTCCATCCCTAAGGTCCTCAGTCTTTTTCCTGTCCTACAGCCCTTAGGATGTGAGCAATTTGCTCGCTTTACTTATGGACATGTATGTTTTTTTTTTTTATCTTCATTGCTTTATTTGCCTTTTTCACTGTGGTACATTATGCAGTTGTGCTTTTATGCTGTGATGCAGTTAAGCTTTGATATCTTTATACTAGTGCATTATACAGCTGTACCTTATTTTTAAAATTGTGGTACATTATGCGGTTGTACTTTTTACTAGGAAGTATTTAAAGGAACACTATAGTCACCTAAATTACTTAAGCTAAACAAAGCTGTTTTAGTGTATAGATCATTCCCCTGCAATTTCGCTGCTCAGTTCACTGTCATTTAGGAGTTAAATCACTTTGTTTCTGTTTATGCAGCCCTAGCCACACCTCCCCTGGCTATGATTGACAGAGCCTGCATGAAAAACAAACACTGGTTTCACTTTCAAACAGATGTAATTTACCTTAAACAATTGTATCTCAATCTCTAAATTGAACTTTAATCACATACTGGAGGCTCTTGCAGGGTCTAGCAAGCTATTAACAGAGCAGGGGATACGACAATCTTAACTAAACATAACTTGCAATAAAGAAAGCCTAAATAGGGCTCTCTTTACAGGAAGTGTTTATGGAAGGCTGTGCAAGTCACATGCAGGCAGGTGTGACTAGGGTTCATACACAAAGGGATTTAACTCCTAAATGGCAGAGGATTGAGCAGTGAGGTTGCAGGGGCATGTTCTATACACCAAAACTGCTTCATTATGCTAAAGTTGTTCAGGTGACTATAGTGTCCCTTTAAGCTGTGTGGCATTTCAAACTGTTTCATTTAAATTTGCATTTAAAACGATTGCATGTAATACCGAGAGTCATTGGAAACTGCTGTACATTTGGAAAACTGAAGTACTTTGGAAGACTGCAGTGCATTGGAAAACTGCAGTACTTTTGAAGACTGCAGTGCATTTGAAGACTGCGATGCATTTTGAAAACTGTGTTACCTTTTATACCATGAGGCCTTTAGACTGTGGTGCCTTTAAACTTTGACTTTTTGCACCTGGTTGCCTTTTAAACTTCCTTGCAGGCACTTTTAGGTTATCTATTTTGCTTCCCCTCGGTCCCAGTGATTTATTCCCGGTTCTCTGGGTGTTTAAGGGCCATGTATGCTTCAGACAGAGTTCTCTCTCTGGTCTCTAAACAGCAAACACACTTTGAATAGGCCCACACGTGTGCAGTTTGTGCCTTAGTGGGCCTAATACAGATGACTTGTATTGTGGGAATACAAGTTATGGCAGCCATCTTGGATAAGGGCAATTGCCAGAAAGTACCTAATATAAAGGGAAAATAAACATCCCAAACGTATTTGGTAGGTATTTGCAGGGTCTCCAGACATGGATAAGTGCTGTCTTTATCCAGTTTTAAATCTGTTTCACTGGTTTCTTATCGAATTTAACAGTGCACTTTTTTACTTGGTACTTTACCACATGTAATATTTAGTTATTTGTCAGATGTCTGAATTTTCACCAGGTTCTGGTTTTGAGGAGAAAACAGTGGAAGGATAACTGTTATCCACTGACTGCCTCCAGAAGGTTGCCACTTCAGCATGACCTATCACTGTGAGGCCACATGACATGCGGGCAGGGCTTACAAAGTAAGTTCCAGAGGCCTTAGGGTTAAGAAAATAGGCCAGGCTTTACCCTGTGCAGGAAGTAATTTCCAACCCCGGAACTACACCACCTAAGTTACAAACTTATGGATCATAGGTGGACGCAGATCTGTCCAAAATTGTGCGCCTACCATTGCAGGCTGCCAGCCAGCTGTGGCTACTGCTGCTGTTTCTACATACATGAAATATGTGAGTAAAGATCTAAAGGCTAATATGGAGAGAGATATTAAATGCCAAGAGGCAGTCTGTAGTCTTCAGGTTACATCTGACTTCTTCACAGAAACTTCCCTAGATTTAACTAGGATATTCTTTGGATCAAATGGTTTTATCTATAGCAGCTAAGAAAACATTATGGTTCTGTTTCTGGGATGATGACTCATCCTCCAAGTCTGCCCTCTACACCATTATATTTGAAGGGGTGGTGCTGTTTGGGAAAACTTTGGATAATTCCATTGAAAGGGTGAATGAGGGCTGCAAGATATTTGTACCTCAGGACGGAAGTCCCAAGGATCCCAGCTCCTCATAGTCTGACCGGAGAACCTTCAGTGACCAGTATTTCTGAGATACATGGAGCTACTGACCCTGCAGGGAATACTCCAGAGGTAACTCATGGCAGTTGGTAAACCTGCCTTTCAAGGTTCTAATGGAGCTATTAAGCAGTTGTTTTGCTCTTCAGCAATGAACAGGTCTACTCCAGTACTAGGAGCCTCATTTTTCTGATTAGACATACCTGGGCTCGTCATACTCTGGAGACTTGGGTGGTATCCATAGTCCAGATTGATATAGACTGGAGTTTTTTCAGGCACCAACAGCAGTATTAAGACCAATGAATCAAAAGGTAAAGCACTGAAGGAAGAAGCCTCCTGGACGAAGAGGTGATTTTTTTTAGGTCCCAGAACAAGAGCAGTTCCAGGGACAAGTTTCGCCTCTCTTCTGTTATTAAGAGGAAAAGCACATGGAAGCCTACACTGGACCTAAGAGGGGCCAACAAGAGGCTGAATGTCAGAGTCTTTGAGATGGAGTCAATCAGATCCATTATCTGGAGGATCTACTTCTGGTAGCCTCAGACCCTCAGAAGGCAGGTACACAGAGGAATATAGTTCTTTCATAACTCCTAAAGTTTGGCTGCTTGATTAATTTCAATAAAAGCAGTTTCACACCAGCTCAGTGGTTGACATTCCCAAGTGGAAAATTATATGATCTGCTTTTCCCTATCTCAGGAACAGTTCCACAGATTGTGGAGGTTTTCTCTCCCAGTTTCTTCATTTCTGCTTGGTAACAGCAAGAAAATAGATGCAACTACTAGGAATCCTGGCTTCCACCAGCAGACTTGTCAGATGGACCCAATGGCATCTCTGGATTACTCACAGATCCTTCCTATCTTGGTTTAACAAGAGAAAGATTATTGGAGCCAGCCACTGACTATGTCCCCATCAGTGGAGTTACACCTTCCCTGATAGCTGAAACGAGAGGATAGATATCTGAGTTTCCAGTGAACAGAACCTCATTGGTCAATTATTAGCTTGAATTCCAGTTTTTATAAGATTGGTTGCACAGTGTTTGGACCATGTTGCACAATATTTCCATTCATTTGTATGGACTTGCGAGTTGTTTTCAAGGCTCTTCTTCACTTCACAGGATTGCTGAAGAAAGAGTGGGTCAAAATTTGCTCAAATATCAATGCAACTGTATCCTATATCTATCAAGATGGGTCTCACAGATACGTATTGATGAAATTCCAGCCCATAATGATCAGGGCACAGAAGAACTACCACGGCTCAGAATACAATGGATGTTTGCTTGAGCTGAATAACTGTGGACAAGGTGGAATGGCAACCATGTCCTGACGTATCCTCGGGGTTGACGCAGATTTGTCTGATACCCTACATAGTTCTGATGGCCATTTCTTGGAACTACCAGGTCCAGAAGTATTTTCTACATGCTAGGATCAGAATGCTCAGGTTCAGGAGACACTGGCTCAAATTTGGAATTCTAGTCTGATGTACATATTTTCCTGTTTTCGACTTTCCTAAAAAGGTAATGCAAAAGGTGACAGTAGAAGACTGTGTTGACTCTAATTCCTACGATGAAAAAGATGATTCAGGCCCTGGGGAGATAGCGCAGCTAAGCGGACAAGGGCACATGTATGAGTGTGGGGATAGATGCATGGGATTGGTTGGGAAAGAATGTGTGGGTGGTATTATGTTCTGTGTAAGTTAGTGTGGGGGAGGTCTTACCTCAGTGCCACTTGGGATTCGGGCCAGCAAACAGCTTCCTGTCCTCCTGCTCCTGTTTGCCTGGGCCTGTAGTTTCACAGCTTGAGGGATGAGGTTGAGGCCTGATGGCTTCCCTCAGAGCTGCTGCAGCGTGGATAGTGGCCTGCCGACTCCTGACACAGGTGCTATCCTCTCCCCTGGAGTGGCTGCCTGGATCCTCTCCCCTGGATGGCTGCCTGAATCCTGTCCCCTGGGTTCCCTGTGGCCCCTGCTCCTGGGGGCCGCGATGCGCCGGCCAGCGTTCCCGCCCGCCGGCTACGCTAATCCCCCTGACACTGCTAACTTTAGGTTACCTCGGGTATCGTGCCCATCGAGCGTGGATAAGGTCGGCTGATGGCAGGCATTAGAAGGAAATTATTTTTTATGACGAGGGGGGAGGTGAGAGGAAGTCACACATAGGCACATGGTCAGTTTATTGGCAAGGACGGTGGGGTTCACTGTATGACACTATGTGTTAAGTTATATGCATATATATGTTAATTTATGGTTATTTATGTTTAACGTTTTGGTTACAGAAATGAAGAGAAATTTATTAAATAAATTATGGATGTCTCATACAGTATTTGTCATATGTTATAATAAATGCTGTGGCCTGTTTCATCCATACTACATCATTATTTTGGATGGGGGATGATTTGGGTTGGTTTATGTATTATGCTGCATCGTGATTCCCCACTACGTATGTACATGGAACCTCCAAGGGAAATTCCAGTACGTCCAGACCTATTACAAGGCCCCTTGACACATCAAGATCCTCAAGTTCTGGTGTTGATGCTGGAGTCCATATTAGTATAGGTATCCCTGAGACGGTCATTGAGATCCTCTTACAATCCAATACATACGTCACAAAGCTTGACATGCTTTTGTCTGTTTGAATTACTCCTCATTCAGGTCTTGAAAGGTTCTGTGTTATAACACTCTAGAGCACTTAGCTTCATATAGGCATTGATTGAACTCAAGCCTCCACTGAGTGTGGTGAAGCCAATATGTGACATACCACTGGTCTCACAGGCCCTGACTAAACCACTATTCAAACCTCTAGAAGGAGCTTCCATGTTGGTGGCACAGAAAGTGCTGGTGGCTGGTACCCCATCCAAGGAAAATGGGTGAACTCCAGGCTTGATCATGTGAACCCCCTTTCACTAATTTTCAATAGATATGGTCGTCTTGCATTTGGCACCTGAAGATCCTGCCTAAGGTGAATGCTTAGCTATGTCATTCTATACCTGTACTGAAAGGTACCCCCATTGAGCGTTGATGCTTTGCTTCATGTATGCAACAATTGAACTCCAGCCTCCACTGAGGGTGTTGAAACCAGCAGAGTGAAGGTGTGAACTCCAGGTTTATTCCTGTGTTCCCCCATTCACTGAACTTCAACAGGTTATGGTTGTCCTGCATGTAGCACCAGAGATCCTGCCTAAAGTGAGAGCCATTCAATGCCATTCTCTACCTGTACCAAAGGATTTCGGGGCATTCTCCACTAGTGCTGTTACAGCATCTCGTGGGCTTCCATGGCAATGGTCTTTGCTGAAACTTTGTAAAGTTGGCATTTGGACCTCTTTGAACTAGTTTGTCCTGCA